AAAGTTCAATTTCATCAAATTGAATTCATAATAAAAAGTCTGCATATTAATGACTTCACTATATATGGTCTATAACAATTTATTTTATGATTTTCGTTATATGTTCATTACTTCAATCTTACATAATGAATAATATAAAAACATACATTTTCTCGTCAATTGGAAATCAAAAAAAATCAATGTCGACATTACCCTGCAAATTACAGCAACCCACAGCTTGACACTTGCTCATTTTGAAACTAGACACACATTTTTCACAAATACGAAACCACCACTTACAACGATACACTCTGTAATAATATTCCATGCCTTAATTTGGCTCGCTTGATGGTCGCAACATCACTGCAGACAACTGGTTTTCGACTGTACAATTAGCAGGTATCTTGTTGAAAAATAAGCTTACCTAGGTAGGTACATTGAAAAAAAAATAAAAGAGACGTTCCATCTTGTTTTCTGAGCAGTTGGATCAACTTTGTACGGATTTCGTGAAGAATACACAATAATTTGACATGTTGGACGAAAAAACAAGGCAACCATACTTTTATCAACAATACATAATAGAATATTTACCGATTCAGAAAGAAAAATACCCGAAATAATAAAATATTACAATGCTAATAAATGAGGAGTTGATTCTCTCGATGAAAAATGTGCTAAGAGTTCTTGTAGTCGGCGTACACGAAGGTGGCCGTTAACTCTTTTCTTTCGTATACTGGATATTTCTGTGGTGAATTCTTATATCTTACACCAGTGTTATAATCAAAACGAACAAATAAAAAAAGTCTGTTATTGACAGAAAGGTGTCTGCAATATCCTCGTTTATCTCGTGAGTTACATTTTGTTTTTACCTGTTGAAAATTCACTTGCGGAAAATGAAAATTTTGCTTTGGAGAAGCGAAAAGCGTGTTTTTTATGTCACAAAACTACCCATCGAATGACAAAATATTTATGTGTGGACTGTAGAAAGCCAGTATGTCTACAGTGTTCTTTTTACTGTGTGGCAGATCACGTAAGTCGTTATTATATAACTGTTTCTCGTGGCAGATGCAACAAGTCAATCAAATATCAATACATTCTGTTGTTCATTTTGTTTGAAATCTGTGTAATAAGTGTGAAATGCAAAAATGTTCAATTCATCCAAGGATATTGATAGAATATTGTTTTATTTTTGAATAAATCAGTTTTTATCCCCTCCTGAAAAGTGGACATTTATGACTTATGTGCTTATTCCCTCTATACGCAGATATATTGATGATATTCTGAATGGGCATACTCCATTGCATACTCCATGAAATATGAAATAATCGAATCGTTGCGTAAAGAAGGTTTCGAAGCACGCAAATGGGCTAGACTGGTCAAGAGATCGAGTCACTGAATTATTGCAGGTTTTGACCTTATGCCCTTATGGCATCCTGTCCTTTTTTCCTTTTTTTTTTACCTGAAACGACAGTTCCGATCGATATTCCAGGAGAAGGTCGACATTGCTTTTTGACTTTTGTGACAAAAACGTTCTGAAAATTATCTACCGTAACTTCGAATGTGCGAGTTTTTTTCACAAGATAACATAGAATCCAATGTCATCCTCATACCTACGAATTGTCAAATGAGGTGAGTGAAATCAATTATCTAGGACTAACTGATATTTGCCTTTTTATAATTTGCGTTTTCACACAAGTCTTTAGACCCAAATATAACATATTTCAATGTTCAAAAAATAAGAACCTGCCTTTCTATTCAATACACCGCTTCTTCAAAATTGTTCATATTGTTAAATAAAAGGTAATTTGAAAATGAATTTTGTCCCTCTTACTTTTCTTTCTGGAGAACTGCCAACGTTTTTTTCGGATCATGTCCATCTGATGGAAGTACCAAAGTATTCGCAAAGTTTGTAGCTGCGGCTATACCAATAATGGTGCCATATGCATGGAAGAGTGGGTTTTGAACACATATTTTGTGATGCTTTCTGTGGAATCCATTCCTCTTTCCAATGTAGAAACCATTGTTCACCGCACTGAAATGACTCAAAACAGCAGCCTTCGAAAAACCTGTAGTGCCCTGAAACATGTTAATATGAAACATGTAAATTTCAATATTTCCCAGGGTCTTAGTTAATAGCAGGGGAGCCAACGGTGCAAAATGGGGATTTACTCGAGCGTCATTGAGACATATTAGGTTGCAAAGCTCAGATGATAAGAAGAAAAACATGTTTAAAATCTGTTTTTCCGTTAACCAGCTGTCGCACCCCTACGAACGACAACTCTCAGAAGTCGAAACTTGTGCGAGCTAAGGATTAACGAGGTCTTACCTTTTAACGTGTGATTCCTAACACGTGTGATTCCTAACATATAATATATTATACCTTTTCATCGGTAGGGGAAGCGGCTATTCAATTAATTGATTAATTAATCATCATATTCATCTTCATCACGAACGAGTCTCTGTGATCAGCTGTGATGGCGTCATGGCAACAGAATTCAGAGTGAGGACGGAGTGAGAGATTATTAGATAAAGAAAAAGTGAAAGAGGAATAGAGAAATAGAAACTCGTTGAGGGTATCACATAGCTGCACGAATTAAACTTTATCGACGAATTTTTGTTATTTCGGCTTGCGGATATCGTCAGATTATATATTTTTCGTTATCTTTGAATTATTTCCTTCAAAATGAAAAAAAAATTAGCTACGCTCGAGAATGTCGAAATTACGTTATTTTTTTACAACTTTGCTGCCCTCCCCTTTCTTTACGTCACTCTCAAATTGTCAGATTACTGAAATATACACTTTTTAGCAGGTAACTAACTCACCCTACCTTAATCTGGCGCGCTCGAGAATTTCTGATGATCAATTTTTGTTACTAATCTGGTCCTTTAACTCTTACAGGCGGCCTTATATATGGGTTTCATATTTGGTGGAGGTACTTAACCGGGTACAAGGTATCCCCCTGTATATTAATCTGTCGCGCTTTAGTAAATCCCGAAATCCCCGCTTGGGCTCCCCTATTATAAGGTTTTCTGAATTTCATTTTGATAATTAGTTCATCAGCTATTTATCGGCAAAATAGATCTTTAATAGGCAGACAGATCTGTCAAGGATGGTATCGCAAAGAAAACTTTGAAATTTAGAAGTTGTAATCGCCGGATCTTAAGGAAAAAGTTATTCGTTTCTCTTGGGATGAACTATATACTCAATACCTACTGAAGTGAACTGGATATTGGCTGGATCGTCTATTTTTATATTTTTCTGGTTCTCTCGTACCATTTGCATTCCTTCATCATCTGTCATGTTTAAAACATCAGTGTATCTATCCGTTCCCCTGAAAAAATCGAATTTGTCTAGGGCTCATCTCATCATATAAAACTGTTACCTCATTTTGTCTTTTGATATCATTATAACACTTTTCAAAGAAGGTAACCTCTCATTTTCAAGCTTTCCAGGTTTTCCCTCGAACAATTTGGGGCAAACCGATTCTAGTATTTCATAAAAATTCTGCTTTCTAAATATGGATCCACAAATGATTCCTCTTATTCCTACTTTGTTGATAACGTATTCCATTTCTTTTTGTTGGTATTGTGGATTCAATCCTGCCTATAGAAAAAAAGGATGGAACTGAAAAGTAATTCATATATTTGAAATTATGGACCTTTTTTTAACACAATGCAATTTCGTCTAAAAACTCTGAATAAATGACAAAAATATTTTAAAATTTTGGGTTGCTATCTGTTAGATCAGGTGGTTGTTCTACGAATGCACGGCTTATTTTTTTCAAATACAGCTCCAACTCTAACTGAGGTAAATGCCTATACAAGGCATCCTAAATTGGATATTCCACGAGAATATCGTTGATATTTTTTGGTATAGAACACTGTTCAAACTCTGCACTATTACCAGTGAAACTGACATTTAATATATTCATTTTGGTGGAATCGATCCGTTTCTATAACTTCATTTTCAATGAATTTTTTATTATATAGGGTGGGGAACCCCATACGACACGGTCCCTGCGAACCAAACAATTATTTTTTTCCTGGATTTCTTCAATTTATCATATGTATATTAATTGAAGCTGAAGAATGAATTTTTTTGTAGTTTACAGGGTGGCTCAAAAAATTGTGACGTATCAAAGCAATTTTTTTTGAAATAAATCGCCCTGTATTCCGTTATATTTTTGAATAGGTCAGGTGAAAATTATATGATTTTATACCAGGTAATTGTTCCCGAATTATGGAATTTTTTATGAAAATGCTATGGTACAATTGGAAACTGAATAACATCGAAATGTATAGAAATCATCCCTTCGAATTCTGACCAAGCATGAAGAGATTTATGGCTATTGATTCAATAAAACTCGTTTTGCAATATTATACAGAATGGTCAAAAATCATTGCCACTTCTTTATTATTTCGGACAAAGATAACTTTGTTATTTCAAATGTATTTTTTTTTGCCCCACGCTGTATAACCGTTATACTTCGAAATATTTGGAAATTTATGCACACCCCTTTCCAAAACCGATTTTTGAATGCACAAATATAAAGACACTTTTGCATCATCCCAATGGCATAAGGTCTTCCGAACTATTTGTAGTAGAGACAAAAATGGAAAATCAGTTGACCTTCCAAGACTTGAATGTAAGAGGTAACTAAATTATAAATCCACATACGAAGAGGAAAATTGCTAAAACGCTGCTGACTGCATCGTTAATTGAGTTCAGCAATATTTTATGGGCTCCTGAACCTGTCTTATAAAAAAGAAGTTTTTCCTTCTTATTGGAAGACAGATTGAGTACAGAATATACACAAAATAATATATTGTGACGAATTAAAGAATTTACTGTCTTAAAATAATTCATTTCTAACAATATTTCACTATCACAACTAATTTATTTACAACACTTAGCTTTTAATTTATTTTCACTATTTGAATTCTTTGTTTAACCACTTGATTTGCTTTCTGAATTCAACTGCCCTTTCTGAACGAGGAGCTGGCCTTTTATATCGGTAATGATCGTTCTAGATTTCTCTAGTGGTCTCTGTTCTCGCCTAGTATTTTACCGGCGAGTCAGACCGCATCATTTCGCGATGATGTCATGTGTTTATTCACTGGCTGAGATATCGGTCAGGAACGGCTTTAAATTCGTTACAATATACACCAAATAGCTAAAGACTGAATCTATCAAAAAAACATTTCCTATACCAGAAGAAACTACTGTTAGCAAAACTGGCATTAAAGACAGTGTGTTTGTTCATTCTAAAATGTCATTCTAAAATGTCATTCTAAAATGTCCTGAAATGTTGTGATACATTCATTTTATGAGAGGTTCCATTTCTACCTATCAGCTATTTATAGACTAGTTGCTTTATTTGAAGAAACATCCAAATTTGGAACCATCGATATCGTTTTCGAAAGCAAATATCAATGAGCAACCTTCTTTGATAAGTTGCCCATCCTTTCAATAGAAAAACACAGACAGAAAGTAGGTATTCAAAATCAATGAGTTTGTCTCAGCAGCAATAAGCGTAGACCCCGGGGTTTCGCAGGAAAGTATTTTAGGGCCATTGCTATTCTTAATTTTCATTAATGATATCAGTTAATGTAATGAATGTGATTATGATCATAATTTTGCTGATGATGCCCGAGAATCGGTTAGTGATAAAGATATAGATAAAGCCATTCAAAAAGTGAATAAAGCATTGAATGATATTGCTACATATTCAAAAACTAATAAATTGAAGCTAAATGTCAACTAAACAAAGGCTATGGTATTTACTACACCGTTTAAGTACAGAGAATTAGATTTAAATCAAATTGAAATAAAAATAGAAAATGACAAAATTGAGCTCATTACTAAATTCAAATATCTAGGATTCATGTTGGACAAGCATCTATCAATGAATAACAATTTCACTTACATACAGAACAAATTTTTGAAGAAATTATATTGTTTCACAAGAGTGTCCCAACATTTAACTATGCAATCACAGATAACTGTATATAAGACCATTATACAACCACATTTCGAATATTGTCCCACTCTTCTATACACAAGTGAT